ATGTGTGACATATGTTCCTGAGCCTCACATGGTAACAAGGGAATTTGTACCTCATCAGGCAGACGTGGTTCATGCACAAAACGTAAAGTAGTGGTTGAGAATCCTGTAGACCCATTCACTGATAGGTTAGAATACTTTGAGGTATCGCATCGTCACAACATTCAATCAACGACTTACTGATGAACGATTGTCAAAGTGCCATGGTGCTCCTGTTTATTCTTTCCACTAGATCATTACCTTCCGGGTGGTACATGGTACTATGTGTTTTCTGGATTATCAATATCTGGAGTACTCGAGCAATTATTTGTCTTACAAAAGCTTCACTCTGGTAGGCGTGGAGTGAAAATGGAGTGCCGTAACGAGAAACCCGACGATAAACGAGTGTAACTGGTGAGATTTATTGCTGTGGGATGAGAACGGCCTCACACCATTTGCAAAAGTGGTTTTTCATCATCACTAGTAACTGTACCCGTTCTTTGATGTTGTAAGTGGTCCGATAATATCAAGGCCAACTCGCTGGTTTGCCTCGTCATTGGTGTTTAGAGTGCATGAGGGGATTTTAAAGACAAACTTATGGCGTAACACGCGTTACGATTTCCACAAAACTCACATATACTTTGTTGATGGATGGTCACCTAAATCTCTGGTAAATGGTATGTTCAGTTATCCGTTTCTTCGATTGGCCGAGTTTATGATGCACTTGCTCCGTAATATTCTGAAAGTTTACACATGTGACTATCAGCAGAGGCTATCTTGACTCACTGACTAGAACTAACATGTCACCACACAATCTCAGGTTACTCTATTCGGAACAAAGACGGTGGGTTGCTAGGGGCGGCTTAGCACTTCCATGTAGTAGTCTTTGATAAATGGGTTTCAAATCGGGTCTGTGCTAAGGACAGCACTAGTGGTGCCAGGAGAATAAGGCGACAAGGATGGAGAACCGGAGTTTGTGTGTCGGCTTCCTGGTTGATGCTCTCATGTCAAATCGAACTCATGCAACCTATCATGCCAGAGCTCCACTTGACATTCTGGCTCACAAAGCGAACGAAATCAATGGAGTGCACGATAGCCCGTGCGTACACAAAAAGATGATCAAAGAGATACCAATTAAAATATTGCAAACCTTTCATCAGAGACAGCTATTCTCATTCCCCTGTTATCAAGCCACTGGCTAGCGTACGCTTTGACCCACTCCTATCCGTTTCATGATGTTTCAGGCATCGCTGCTTCGATAGTTGACAAGATAGCATCCGTTTCAAGCACTTGTGCATGTACCAGACCGTGTAGATTTGTCAGCGTCAATCGTTGGACAGTTGCTGAAGTATTAATTAATCCGAATGGCATCACTTGACGATCATAGGGTTTATTTGGTATGACAAACGCGGCAAGATCTAAAGTCGATATATAGGAAGCGAGATTGATTGAGTCTAACGTAGCATCAACTCGCAGAAGTGGAAGAGAAGTCGCATTTCGTAATAGCATTTTGACGACGGTAATCTTCACATAATTCAAGGGAGGAATCTTCTTTCTTTGTTTAAGTGATGGGTGAAGCCGAAAGTGATGACGATGGCACTATAATCCCTTTTTCTACGATCCCTTTTATCAGTATGTCTGGCTGTGACTAACAATGCACAGGCAATTTGCGAAGTGGTTATGTTCACTTGTGTAAGTGAAGTGCTGTACAGTAGTCGTTCGGTTCATTGGCACATTTCCGAAAGAACAGATCTGGGTTGCTGACGATGGAAGAAAAACTGAGTAGTACTTTATTGAGTGCTCGCAGGCACACAAAAGCACGCGCTAACTGTTGAATACGTCTGGGCAAAGATTTAGCATTGACTTGTTTGAAACCAAATATACATTTAAAAATGTTTGTTGAGCTAGTCGGTCAGTATTCTGCTTTCTTAGGGACTAATCCAATCACACAAGTAAATTTACAAGCCTAATTGCATGCCACTAGCTCCTAAGGAAACTTGTAAGATCGTTTTGAGTAAAGAGGGTGTAACAGCTCGAAGTACTTAGCCTCATCTTGTAGTTGACACCTGATGACTTTCTACCCTGATCCCATTCAACGTTCAGTAATCAATTTTTTCAAGGTATGGACACATTGATGTAGACATCAGCTTTGAAACATAGCTAATGACAGATGTGCAAGAAAGCCGATTTGAGTTGTTTGACATTTATTTTGCAGGACCGACAAAACTAAGCAGTAGAGGAGGTGAAGTCATTCTATATCTATAATGCAGTTTATGTGGGCTTTCAAGAACATTATCTAACCAACTTTATCCTGAGCTCTCCTTTCCAGTTTATTTAAATCACTGTTCATTCCTTTGATATCTGCCTCTGATTCTCGATGTAATGTGTTCTTTAGGCTTCCTCTTTTCATTTCTCCTTTAGGATTCCAAGTTAGCGCTTGTCTTGTTATGTAGTTTGGTGATTTCCGCAATGTATGTCCTATACACTTCCAGCGTCATTTCCTGATTTCCTCTTCATCTGGAAGTTGGTTTGTCCACTCCCACAGTAAGTTGTTGCTAATGATATCTGGTCAAAGGATTTTAGGTATCCTGCGTAGACAACTGTTTATAAATACTTGTACTTTTTTATGATGGTTGTGGTATTCTCATAGTTTCAGCTTCGTACGCTAGAACTGTCGTGATGTTCGTGTTGGAGATTCTGAGTTTGATTTTGTTTGAGTTGTTTTGAGTTCCATATGTTCTTCAATTGTAGGAATGGTGCCCTTGCTTTGTCAATCCGTACCTTTACATGTGTATCAGCTCCTCCTTGTTTTTCTATGATGCTGAGTTTGCCTCTCTTCCATCGTTTCTGCATTAAGTGTGATGAGGTTGGGTGATATTTCAGGATCTTGCTTTATCTGTTGTGTATTTTGAGGCCTACTGATGCATAGAACGCTACTATGCTAGCTGTTTTCATCTGTATTTGTCCGTGTGTGTAAAATAGAAGAGCTGGGTCATGTACGAAGTCCAAATCGTCTAGTTGTATCTAATCTGTACACTGTATTTCCTGCTTTCAGATGCACCGATAGTGGTGTGATGCCCCTGTGTTTCTTGCATATTCTGAGATCTGTCTTTTGTAACTACTCGGTCTGTCTATAACTGTTAACCCCTCCAAACCGTCAACAATAGAACGCGGAACATCTCTGCAGTTATTAATATGCCTGACTTCAGTGCTCCAGCTAATTTGTTTTCAGGTTTGGTTTCCTTTACGCCGTTTATTTGCTTAATGACCACCCTGATTTATTAGACTGTTATTACTGTTACATAAATAGTTAAGTTTGTATGTACTGTTTCATTGTCTGCTGGGTTTATTGCGGGTAGTCTTTTCAAGAGTTTTCAAAAGTTCTCTACCATCGTGGTACGCTACTCATGAATCTTAGTGATTGTCTTGTCTTATTTGTTCTTGACTAGTCGTTCTGATTCACTATGCTTCCCTGCTACTTTCTTTGCAGTGTCATATACGTGTATCATATTTCCATTATTTTCAACTTATTCCGCCATTCTGAAAGATTTTTTCCCGTGTTTCTACTCCTTTCCAATGTTTATCTTGACACCTTTGCCCCTGAGCAACATGGATTTCATAACAGGCGTTCATGCTTGACTGACTTACTTATTGCAAGAGAGGATTGGACAGCAGCCCTAGATTACGGTCTGTCTGTCGATGTGATATTCATAGATTTTAGCAAAAAATTTTATAAGGTTACAAACTTAGGTCATATTCAGAAGCTCACAGGCTTCGGAATAATAAGTACTGTAGATGAGTGGATAGGAAACTTCTTATGTGACCGCAGACAAAGATTGAGGGTCAACGGGACGCTATCCGATTGGAAGCCGGTCAAAAGTGGTGTACACCAAGTCACCATCTTAGGCCCTCTGCTCTTCCTTCTCTACGTTAATGAGTTGCTGCTATGAGGCTGATCATCTGGATCTTCAAGCTGACTTGGACGATTTAGTTAGATGGGCTCGAAAGTGGGGCTTAGAAATCAATACTAGGAAGAGTTTGCTAATGCACATCGGTCACGGGGATAGTTACCGTTATACTATTGAGGATAAACCTCTTCCATGTGCTCAAGAACATAAAAACTTGGGAGTAGTAATAAGTCATGATTTAAAAACAACTACGCATTGCGAAGCAGCCGATGTCAAAAGTTTTCGCGCGTTATGGTCACTTCGCCGAGCGTTCAAATCCTTTGACGAGGAAGCCTTTCGAATTTATATCCCATATATGTAACACCACATTTAGAGTACTGTATCCAAGCAGCTAACCCATGTTTAGTAAAGGACACTAACTACTTTGAGCGTGTTCAGCGTGTGGGAACGAAATTAGTGAAAGGTCTTTCTAGATTTCCTTACGATGAGCGTTTAAAACGCCTAAACCTTTTCCCCTTGTCGTATCGTAGGACACGAGATGACCTTATACTGGAATTTCGAATCTTTAATTATGATTTGGGTGTTAATATGTCTTATCTGTTTGCTCCCTCCAGCACTGAAAATCTCCGAGGTTATAGCAAGAAGGTTCATAAACCACGATCTAATAAACTTAAAGTGGGGTCTCGTTTTTCTCATCGAGTAGTCAATGATTGAATCGCCTTACCCGAACAAGTGGTATCAGCCCCATCAGAGAATATTTTCAAGGAGAAGCTGGGCCTTCGCTGGAAAGAAATCCATCAGGATTAACACAGTTTCAACAACTTAATATCAATACTACTGAATAATGAAGACTGAAAATGCAGAATTGTACCCAGTAAAATTTGTATCTTACAGAGTGTTATTGATAAAAACAACCTCCTCTAACAAGTAGCTTCAGATACATTGTTTAAAGTTTTCAAGAGACAGCTTAATCCTAAGAGAAAATCATACTATGGGCCAATCAACTTTTAATGCTCGTTAACAAAGTCATGAAATTGGATCATGAATGTTTTGTTAACAGGTACCTGATTTGTTTTCAAGGTTGGCTAACATGAGAGCAATAAGTAGATGTGACAAATGAATTGGGCTGTGGGCGCTAATTGTTACCTACTTCGGGCTGTTCTCACACATGGAAAAAACTGGGACCTTGTCAGTGAGTCATTAAGAACGTCTTGTAAGACGTTCTTGAAAGATGAAAATGTACAGGATCTCTCAAAACAGGTAATTAATATATTTGAAATCATTAGTTATAAGCAGAGTTGTTCGCTTCAATATAAATATATTATTGCATCCGCACGTCAAAGGTATTATTCTCTTGTGCTTGGCTGAAAGTTCCCTAGAAATCCAGGCGATTTAACAGAGAGCCAGCTATTAAACATTTCACTAGATCATTATACTACATTAAGACGTGAGCAGTTGCATGCTGCTCGGTTGGAAATATTGCGGGCCATGAAGTGAGACTTAAATGCTGGTTTATTGTCGACTCTTAGGATTGAAGAAGAGGATGCAGAAAAGTTGCGACAAGGCCGGTATTCTGAAATACCTCCAGACCGATTACTAACGTGAGCTCTCTTTACTAATATTTATTTCGCTTCAGTTATAGAAAAAGATGTCGTGCACTTGGGATTCCGGACAAAATAGGTCGTTGTTTAAATATGGAACCGTTGTCTCCTATTTCAGAGGAAAATGACCGAACTGTCAAGAAGCTTCCCACTACACTACAACGTCCAAATACTAAAATTGAGAAAGAAACAATTGATCAGAATGGTGGTATCTGGATTCCTGTTGGAACCCCTTTTATTTATGAGCTATTCGAAGAGAGATGTGATTACATTCAGGAATCATCGTTAGCTAACTTCATACGTGCTCAAGGTAACACTTATCAAGGCTACTTGTTAAGAATGCATTTTTCCCGTAGAAACATAGGGTTTATGTACAAGTCCTATCAAAAAACACTAGAACAATATCTCCTGCTACCTACTTTTGAGTTCTATTTCTTATGTGTCGGAGTCCCTGTTGTCTTTTTAAAGCACTACCCATCTTTGTAATTCCTTCTCAAAGTCCTTTACAAACATATTTAGACTAAAGCACTAATTTATGCAGTAGTATGAATACATTGCCTTCAATTCTCAACTAAAGAAGATATGCATCGTAGTAACTCATTTCCTGTAAAGTCCAGTGCATTAATCGAAGGAATCAGTTGTTTGTCTTTTTCAAAACTTTCATCCATTAACTATTGAGTGAAATAAATAGAATTGCACTGAGTCTATCTATATGTGACATTTAAACCTAATGATGATCATTCTTAAGATATGTGAAAGAGTGTGAAACCAACCAAACATATTGTTTCCCATCATGAAGATCCAGACCCTTTATTCTATTGTATGATATTATAAAATGCATGCAGACTTGACAACTCCTCTGTGAATATACTGTGTTAGTCTAAGGAACGACCGTGAGCCGTAGTGGGTAACGAAGGCAAAAGAGATAGAAAAGGAAGCGGCTTTAGGTAACAACAGATAGCTTTTCATACTAATAAAAGAAACCCGAATTAAGAAGTCAAGTGTAAGTGAAACGACTTGGAAAAAAGTTGACGCTCTTATCTACTTTCAGCCCAGATGTTTAGAGTGATGAATGGAACACTTTAACGGGCAGTTCGGCTGGCCTTCAGCTACTCTACAATTACTCACCATTTCCAAAAAGCCTTAATGGGACATTGAAGTAGGCCTTCCGACTTCACTGAAGTTCAAAAGGCTATAGCTATTCTGAAACGAGAAAGAGCAACTGCTCTAGATGGATTAACGACAGAGGTCTTTAAAAATGGTGATCCAGTTCTAGCGGTTATGTTGACTAATATTTTAGCTAAAATCTGGGAGTTGGACATAATCACATTTGATTGGTCTCAATCACTGATTGTCTCAATATATATGAGAAGGGGGTCAAAGTCATCCTATGATAACCATAGAGGGAGTACTTTAACTAACATAGCATCTAAAATACTAGCCTAAATAATTACCCGGCGCCTAACAAAGATTCGTGAACTGCAAACATGAGAAAATCAGGCTGGTTTCAAACCTGGTCGTGGCTGCATCGACCACATATTCACCATTCGTCAGGTTCTAAAACACAGACGTCCTCATCGGCGTCCGACAATGGTGGTCTTGACTTAAAAGCGGCATTTAGCTCTGTAGACCAGGAGGTGCTGTGGCAGTGTCTGTCACTGAAAGGCGTACCTCAGAAGTGCTTAGACATTGTGAGGGTTCTTTACTCAAACACTACCAGTCGAGTCAAAGTTCTTGGCGAACTGTCATTTAATTTTGCAACGTCAAGTTGTGTCCGAAAAAAACTGTTTATTATCTCCATTTTTTTTAATTTCGTCATGGACTTAGTGATGGATGCAACGTTTTCGTCGACTGAATTATCGAGGATTGATCTCCTTGCAGGAGTTGGACTTATCGACTTAGAATACGCAGATGACATAGTCCTGTTTGGTGAGAACACTGATAAAATTTAGCATTTTGTTAGCACTGAGCAACAGTGCCAGGATGTTTGGGATGCGTTTCTCCCTCGAACCCAGGACTTGTGGGATCAATAATTGACCTTTAGAGTAACTTAACAAGCGGAAGTTAATACGAGAACTGAGAAGAGATGTTGGGTAATGTCGTTCTACTAAAACTTTAGAAACTACTTGTTATGCTCTTTAGCTTTGGGGTAAGTATGGTTTCTGTGAGCATGTCCTAGACCTCTACCCATTTATTTTACAAATCACTTTCACTATTTTTTTTGAATTTTATTTTATCTCATTTTACTGATAGCTATCATTTCACAAAGACTGGGTTTCGAAGGACATGATGATGAAATCTCAAGTCTAGATACTACATCATCCATCCAGACTCACTCAGAGGTATACATATACAAACGTTCCTGTTTTTTCCTTGTGGTTTATTGTGATTTGATAGTATATCCTGCATAAATACCGAAGAGCCACCAAAATTATTGCTTATTTCAAAGTTATTCATTCTTTTTGTGTATCAATTTTTAGTGATATTTTACATCAAAATGTTTAGTTTCATCGACATGTGATTTATAACTAGATATAGGCTCAATTTACTGAAGAATTTAGATCACTTCTTTACCTTTCAGAAGTGTATATTACGTTAGCTTATTACTCATTCCAAAATCGTTTTATAACATGTTTATTATCAGCTTCAACTTACTGATACTTGCTGTTCCTGATTAAAATCACTAATGTGACGTTTGTTTGATGTACATATTTTTACGAAGTTGAGAATACTATGAAATACATTAATAAATAAACACACCGATTATGTTCACATATAATTTAACTTGTTGAGAATTTATTTAGGAATAAGCGCTATGGTAATCTGTATTTCGATTTCTTGCGTATTTACCTTTGAAGGTTACAACTAGCCATAACCAAGAAGTCAAAGTCGAAGAGTCACCCAGGGCTTCTGAACAGCTTAATAACTTAGATAGTGGCTCAAGCAAAATAAGAATACAAACAAGCCCTTCCAAGTGTTTGGAGATCCTAGATGAACCAATTACTCCTAGTAGTTCCGCTCTTGTAAGTGACTCAGAAACACTGGCTTCTCCACACTTTACTCAAAGCCTTAATTCAAGTCCTGCACTCAGTCTTGCGGAAACTCAATCACCATCCTTAAAAGCCGTTAATCTGAACCGAAAGCATAATCATACAAAGAGGAAGATATCGACTCCTGCTCCTGTTTGTCAAAACCAAGTGGGAGAGTTCACTTCAGGTATTATTTTATTTCATTGTTATAAATTTTACTCAGTCAATACATTCTTACCATTCTTTTGTGGAAGTGGTCACACTGATACACTCACAGTTTATCCCATTTTGTATCTTGTACTCATTATGAGAGATTTATATCTCAGGAGGGTTTTATTGACATACGCTTACGTCTCTTTTATCGTTTACTAATAATGACTCATTCGTTTTCATATTCAAATTCAATAGCTCTCAGTCCCTCAATATCTACCAATCTCAATAATGATGAACTTACAGATACATCTCAGTCATCAGTTTGTGTGGCTCGACGATGGAGAAGATCTCTTCTGTCAGCACTTTCTACGGTGTACAGCCATCGTCACGCTTATGTGTTTATGCATCCTGTAACTGAAGATATAGCTCCCGGGTACAGTACTGTTGTTTATGAGCCAGTGGACTTAACGTCCCTTAGGCGCCGTATGGAGTCGTCACTCAGTTACTTGATCAGTTCTCAACAGCCTTCTGCTCTAAATCCATCTATTTCTTCTTATCGAGTTATCATTGAGATCGCAAGACGTTTCATTCGTGATCTTTTGCTAATGTTTATGAATGCAAGAATGTACAATAGTCAAAATCACGAAGTCCACCGAATGGCTGGGGAGATGTATCATGATGTCATTAGTGAAGTAAGTGGTGGATCTTTATCATTTACTGTCAAGCGGTCACTGTGAGGAATTGCATATTAAAAAAACTAAAACTAGCTGTCCGATTGAGTAGTTGGAGTATGCGTGATATTTTCAACCAGTGATTGCAAATTTCGGATAACATGACTCAGAACCTATCTTAGTAGTTAAAACGCAGTTATTCTTGTTAGGTCTTACATTATCACTTTTTGTAAACCTCTTCGTCCCTTCTCGAATCATTCCCAGTATTTAGTCATTTTCATTGATACTGCGTCATTTTGATCCCTTCACTGTTTTTTTAATAGTTTTATTTCATCTCTGTCGTGGTATAGTATGGTCACTTGGGCTAACATACATTTGTATCAGGCTCTACGTCGAATGTAACTTAGGAAATAAACTCGTCTTGACGAAAATGGTTTCAGATGTTCATCTAGTTCTACCTTAATCCTTGCTCATTCCTTAATTTGTTTCCGTTGGATACTTACTTCAATATTGTGTATTTTATTTTGTAGCTATTGTGTATAGTTTCCATGTTTCCTTTTAGTGTGTTAGTATAAATCATATAAAAATGCGTTAGTTCCTTAAAATATCATCATAGCTTTTCTAGTTATTCTTTTATAGGGAGAGGATGTAAAGATTGAGTAAGATAATATTTGATGTCCTCTTAGTTTGCTTTTGTACATTCGGTTGTTACTTATTTTTCCAGGGAAATATATATATTTAGCACCAATCAAATTTTTTTGTCTGATTATCCAAATTAGTTCCTTTTCCACACTGAATTTATGACATGTGTCTAGAATTGTGAAGATATAAGTGGGACACTTACTGCCCACAATTTTTGTTCACTTCAGTACAACTCGTCTTTTGTTTGTGACACTGAAGACTATTACTGTGAATGGACCCTCTGAGAAAAAACAGTTATTTATTATTTCTTAGACGTGTTTTCATTTGGTCATGTTAGATTATGAATTGCATCAGGAGTGAATACATGATTTTATCTCGTCATTTCAGACTATCGAACTCTGAAAGTGCCACTGACCATCTTGTGTCGTTTCTGAAAGTTTAGCATTTAATGATAATCACAAGTCTGAATATGTTATATCTTAACGTTCATGGCATGATGTATACATTAGCTCTAACATCTAGGTTGTTGAAATAACAAAGGAAAACAAATCAAACATCTACAAAATAAATTGTGCCAACTGCGAAAAACACTACATCGGACAAAGCGGACGCCCCCTTCACCTTCGCCTACACGAACATCAATTAACAGTCAAACGCCATGATATCTCCTCACTTATATCAATACACGTGGACAACTGCGGACACTTATTCGATTGGAAAAATGTGGAACTCTTAGACAGAGGAAACCCCAAAAACCAGAGAATTTTTAGAAGCCTGGCACTCAGGTCAATCAGCAATCAACAAGCATATTGAAATCAATCCAATTTATCAAACAATCAGAAAAATCATGCACAAATATAGGAACAAAAATCAAACCAATTGGAGACACAACCAAAGCAAAGAAGTAAACAATGACAAATTTAAGGTCAATATGAACCAATCAACATCGAGGTGCACAGAACAAGCTGTGAAACACATGGAGAAATTCGAACACTTCACTTCTACCTGAGGTTTGTACTAATGATATCGTTCAGAAAAACGATGAAAGCTCCACGACCAAACCATCCACCTCAGAGAACAAAATTACACCAAAAAAGATATAACAAAGAAGTAACAACGAGGCTATGCGGTTTAATCAAAACCTTTTTGGTATATAATTGGTTATAATGTCATCCTCGAATTGTAAATAGTCTATGATTAGTGTTGGATGACATTTTTTATTATTTTATCTTAATGCTATTTTTGCGTGCAGTATTTTACCGACTTTTCTAGTTCTAATAGATAGTAGTTTTATTTGCAACCTTTAACATTCACAGCTCTGTGTCACTTCAAGTAGCTTAAAGTAATATTTGTTTATTATTTACATCAGTTCACTCTACTTCCCGTAAAATTATGTATTCAACAAGTTGTCAGTTCTCTTTTGTTGAGCAACTTAGTAATAGCATATTGAAATCAGAATTTTTTAAATGATTGTAACCAAAAATTTTCCCCTTCGAAATTACGGATAAATCGGTATACTGTGCTTTTCATTCGCCGAACACATATTGATATCTTTCTGTTATTAAAAGTCAGTACGTATAAAATGCTTTGCTATTAGATGTATCTGACAAATTTACGAAAATAGCTGTCATATTTCGTTTTTCGCGAAGTTATGATTTGTATAACTTGATTGCAACGATCGGAAAATACCTTCAATGTGAGAACAGGTCTATACGATTAGATAAAGTGGACGATTCTTACACAGCAACACTTTAACGATGGCAGTTACAGGGAAAAACAAAGGAGTTGAAACTTTCAAAAGAGCATTTACTTCTCAGGAAACGACAATTATAGTGGTAGTTATCACGGTATTTATTGTATTATGCTATAGTTTTGTATCAGACTAATGAACATATACTTAAGTTTCGTAACATTGTCACATTGCAAAATTCGTAATAATATCTAGATGTGGAAGGTCACAATAATACTAGTTTGAGTTAATCCGAGCACCTGTTCCATATTTTCAACTACCAGGATTTATACTCAAATCCTCCTACAATATGTATGGCAGGTCTGTAGCTGGTTTTTGATTTATTCTTGATTTTCATATCACGATTGTTTTGCTCATTTGAAGTGTGCACTTTGTTTCATAGATCAGACAACCGTTGTATTGTGATTGTGTGAAGTCATAAGTATTCTTTTTCTTCATCAAAGACGAGTGTTTGTTTTGTCATTGTCCTATTGATTTATTTTTTTGGTTGTGTTATCCTCCTGTTCGTCATATTGCTGGTCATGACTTCATGTTTTGTGAACTTTTTGAGAGCGTTTTGTTGGTAATAATCAGTTATAATTAATAACCTGACTTTGCCAAAAGATTGATTTTCCATATAAATCTCTTGAAACTTTGCAGCTTCAACCTCTTTGGTCTATTATGGCTGAGGACATTCCAGGATTCCCATCTCTGCCTTTCTTGAATTTAACTCCTCCACAAACTACGCGTTCCTTACAACAACCTATTGTAGCATCGACTGCCCCAACTACTAGTCCCTCACATCCTGCTTCATGTGTGCTTAAAGATGAGGAATCGAATGCTAGCAAGCAGTCTTCTAGTTTTTTTATCAAGCAAAACAAACGTCCTGCTCCTGAAGTAAGCTTATGCACATATATCTTACGTTTGCTAATCTCATTGTTTTGCAGTAATAAATCAGTGGCTTTATGGTTAGGTCGTTTGATTTTCAGCCACTAGGACCAAGGTCCAAACCCCGTTCCATCTAATTCGATCTGGGGGATTGCGTAGTGTCATTTAATCTCACAATTAGAGTGTAGCTTTTACACAAATAACTGTTAAATGAGTTGTCTAATTTAATTTTGTTTGTTTGGTTACAAGAGTATCAGTTGAGAAAATGTGTGTTATGTTGTTCCGCGCGTAGTGTTTCCAGTGCTCTGGACTTCTCATGAACCCAAAAGGGTCAAAAACAGAATATATTTTAAAAGTCTTGGAAATGAGCATAAGCACATGAGCTTGTGTAAAAAGTACAGAAGAAACTTCTAGCAGCTGGATTTACCTTCTAGCACAGATTTTTTGAAAATAAACTTATCCCCATATTCGAATTTGTTTTGGATTGTGCATAAAACCGTTAGGATTTTATTCTCATAATAGTTTGTCTTCTATTTTTCGAATAATAAAGACTTTGCATTAGGATTACGCACTAGTCTGACCGTAAATCCAGCAATCACTAGAGTTCGGAAATACAATTGCGCTCACGTATTACTCGCCCTTGTTTGTACTGAACATTCTTTTGAGTGTTCTTCCTTATCGCAAGCCTATGCCTTTACTACTTCTTTCTTCCATAGAAATGTTTGTAAATACCATCAATGAAAACATATAAAAATGTTTTGATTAGAAAAGAGTTGCGTATGAGTTGTCTTGTTTTGGAGATTAGGGGTGAATAATACTTAGGATTGTTTTCCAACCACTGCTAGGTAAGATGGAATCAAGATTTATCAGTAATAGGACATAATAATTTAGTTGAGTTTGGTGACTCAATGATCCACTTGCGTTCGTTTTTCGAAGTCCACCACTAGGCGTTTTATACCTTGATAAGTTACTAAGCGTTATTGTGGCTCAAAAGATTGTTTCTCTACCACTCGGCTTTTTATACTAATAATAGGAAAGTTTAGGCATTGAAGACACGATTTGAAAAGATGTAAATTAGTGGGATAAAAACAACAAAACAGGGTATGAGAGCCATTCCAATCGGTTTTGAGTCATGTCATTCAAGGTCTCTGGTCGATAGTTACGATAAGCACACAGACCTCAACCAGGCACCCTATACCTACTGACATGGCTAATTCCAATCGTAAGTGACTGGATTGACTAATGCCATGTTTTGGTTTGGCTATCCTTTAACAAACAACATCGCCCACAAAGGTAAGTGGTATTTCGGCATACAAACACATGTCCTAAACACCTCAGTTGGTGAAAATTTACTGCTTCATCAATCGATTTTCCATCCTCACCTGGTATCACACACCTATCTCAGGGATTGCTTACTCCATGGTACCAAATTACATGAGCAATTCTTTGAAGACACTTATGACCAAGTACCAATAACCTACAAACATCCTCTCTTCTTAATGGCCATGTTTCTTATCCATAAAGTAGGACGGAGTGAACTCCTTTTTTGGTTGGGAAACAAATATCTCCCCTACCTCACAAGTTGGTAAAGCCAATTGAGCCTTCCGAATCCGTTGTAACCTCTTCCATGAGTCGGGTAACGAATAATCTCTGATGACATCGACTTCTCCTGAGATTGACGTAATACCTTGAGAAGTTAGTGTGACCTAGGAACTGCAAGGATCTCTTTCCGAACTCACACTTCTCAACGTTTATGGAAATGCCATGTCCTCGTAGTCACGTGAACAATTGTAGCTTCTGCATATGCTCGTCCATAGTAGTGCTAGCTACTAGTAAATCGTCGATGTACGCGTATGCTCCTGTCAAACCTCTAACAACTTGATCAATGAATCTCTGGAAGGTTTGAGCTGCATTAGTTAATCCAAAGGGCATTCACAAAAACTCAAATAACCCTAATGGAGTAATTACAGCCGTTTTTGACATATCTTTTGGCGCCACGGGAATGCGGTAATAAGCCCGAACAAGATCAATTTTCAAAAGATCGTGGCACCTTTCATATAGGTGGTAATGTCGTGGATGTGCGTTACCGAGTATCTATCTGCCATAGTTTGCTTGTTAAGGGCTCTATGATCTCCACGTGGCCTGATTTCTCCATTCTTTTTGGGAACCATATGCAACGGGGATGCCCAGGGACACTATTAGATGGCTTTATGATACCAAGTTCCACCAATTTTTCGAATTATCGTTTCGCAATATTCAACCTTATTGAGTCTAGCCTTCGTGGTCTTGCATTAATCGGCGGACCTTTCTGTACAATGTGGTGCTGTACATTATGTTTATTGTATGTGTTATTGTACCCTCTTAAAATCCGGGTGTTTATTTAGGAGCAACCTATGTCGACTCGATTTTGTCTGCAAGGTTCTAATGCACGCTAGGTGGAAGTCGTTGTAGACACAACTGGTAAATTATGTTTTTATACACTTTTCTGTCCCTGATTATGGTAATCATATAATTTTTTAGCTGCGATGTAGTCCTATTTCCTATCTGCACATATCTGAGCTGCTATTTGACGGCTTACCAGTCGCTTAATGAGACGGCTTTAATAACTTCTTGCTTTAGTGCGTCGTATGACTTTTCTATGTTTGGTTTAGCTTAGACCTCTCGTACATTGTCTCCTACTTCATCCAGAAGTAGGGGGATTGTGTGACTAAATTTATCTCGCTGTGCATAAACACGATTAGCTACCAAGTAATGTTCAAGTTTGATAAACCAGACTTGAGGATCTGTGACCCTACAAGTGGGAATAGTGACATTAATGGACCCCACGGACGGCGTTTGTGAAAGTCTATTGTGTCGTTAATTGAAGATATATTTATAAAGAGTCAAAAGTACAGGAATATAATGTAAATTTCACAGAGAAATGAGCTGGTGAAAACAATGATAATAACAATTGGTACAACTTATAACAAAAAACGGACTTACTAAATTGCACCAATATATCAATTGTTTATGAAATATCGTTGTTTATTATGAATGTTATTGTTATGTTCAATAACGTTTGTGAGATAATGTACGTATATTTAAAATAGTGATATAAATCCACAATTATGATTATAATCCAGGTGATAATCCGACTTGAAATAGAGTGCATTGGATTTTCGGAATTAGATTATATTTTCGAAGATTGTTTCGTGCTCGCACGTTGGGATCTCTAATTCTGTGGTGGTCAGTATTTAATATAATCCCTAAGCTTCGTATACAGTTCTTCTTGATAACCGTCACTAGATAACGCCCCGTTATATTGATCAAAGGGCGAATACGAAGTGTCGAATACGTTTATTATTGGACTACACAAATATTCAAATTTACATGTACTTTAGGCAAGCATGAAAGAGTGGCAAAAAGCTAACAGGCATGTGATTCGGACGAGCGAGCGAGTCAGCTGGACAGTGAGAGCATGAACATGATTAAAGTGTATACATATACATAGTGAAATAAATGAATCATCGAATCAATAATAAGATTAGCAGAATGAACATATGCGTAGGCAGTAAGCGATGTTCAGGCATACATACTCATACAAGTGTAACAATAATAAAGGTACAGTGATATAGATAAGTTGTTATTGTACGAATAACTCTGTCCGGTAAATAAGTTAGCAAAAGGATTTAACCAAATTAAGTGTGAACAAACTCAATTGTACGTAAGTTGCTATAATCTATTAGAGTCCATCAATGAGTCGATTGTTGAGGTCGCCACATTAGATAATGTTTCGCTTTCTTTTCAGTTGGTGTCTGCCATCAATAGACGGTTATCTAAACACAGTTGCAACAGACGGTCGTCATTATCTGTTCGCTTAGCCGCAATTTCGTAATATCCGCCTGTGTTTTTCGGTTTGGTTTAATCTACCTGCTTGAGTATTAAAATCACCTCCAACTATTACTACATCAGAGAGCTTAGCTTTTAAAAACAGGCTGGATCGCTTCCCACAAAATCCATCTTTAACTTCTTTTGAGGTGCAATCAGTGGGAGCGTAGAGAGAGATAACAAAAAAGCAAGAGCGTGTCCCTATCTTTTCGGGTTCTTACGGTCCTGTTTAGTCGAACAGAGCACAAGCGACTGTCTACTGGAACCCAGTCTAGAGGAGCCCGTTCTGTTTCAGGACTTAATGCTGTATCTACACAAGAGAGGTCATGGGTAACAGCAGTGAGATCTCCAGATATTAGAAGAGTAAATCGTTGGAGTTCTTTATATTTAACAGGGTGTGGTCAAACGTGTGACGTACTTGAAACCCGTCTGCGCGTTTCGGAGATGCAGTATATGTCAATGGCGCGAGATTCTAGAGTCTTAGATAAAGAAGCATGTTGTCTTATCTGACACAAGGTTCGAACAATAAAAGCTACAAAATCTAATCTAGAGTGTGGTTCCAGAAGACTGGGAATAATATTTCGTGAACTCAAATGCGAAGTTTTTGATGAGCTAGCTCTGCACCTGGAAAGGCCTAACCGCCGGAGGGCGGCGTAAGGTGAAGTGCAACGTTTTATGAATAGACATTTGTTAAATCTTTCGTTATGAGAAGGTCGCATCGCTGCAGATTCTGTTTGTCCAAGGGAAACGCCTTTCTATTGTCACACCTCTTTGCAGTCAGCAGTATGACTTCGCCCGCGGCCTTAGGTTGCTACTTTCAGTTCTAAAATTCTCCAACCGACCTGTTTGGCATGGTAGGACTTAAAACATGTGTTCCAGCTAAGCATTATCGGAATCTATGTCCTTGTACTCGAAATCTGGTTTCGAAGGTCACTGAGTAGGCAACTTAAATTATCCTTTAAATTCGGACAACTATTTTTTGTATGAAAGCTATAGATTAAGAAGACTATCATTCCTCACCTAGTTTAGATGGCGATTTGATTATCGAAAGATCACTTGCGATACATACAATTACCATTTGAAATATCAATTTCACATGTGCCTAACAAGAAAACTGATTCTTAAAAAAGGACTCTGCAGCTGTATTTTTTGGCATTAATATAGTATAGCTAATGCACAACTAACAGATAATGGCTTCAAACCTGGTCGTGGCTGCATCGACCACATATTCACCATTCGTCAGGTTCTAGAACATAGGCATACTTATCGGCGCCCGACAACGGTGGTCTTTCTTGACCCGAAAGCAGCATTTGACTCTGTAGACCGAGAGGTTCTGTGGCAGCGTCTTTCATTGAAAGTTGTACCTCAGAAGTACATAAACGTTGTGAAGGTTCTTTACTCGAACACTACCAGTCGAGTCAGAGCTTATGGCGAACTGTCATCTGCTTTCGTAACCTCAAGTGGTGTCCGTCAAGGCTGTTCACTTTCTCCATTTTTGTTTAACCTCATCGTAGACCTATTGATGGAAATAACATTCTCGTCTACTGGATTCTCAAGTATTGATCTCCTTCCATGAGGTCCACTTATCGACTTAGAATACGCAAATGATATAGTCCTGTTTGGTGAAGACGCTGATAAAATGCAGAGTCTTTTGGTAGCACTAAGCAACAATGCCAGAATGTTTGGAATGCGCTTCTCTCCCTCTAAATGCAAGTTGTTGCTTCAGGACTGGTCTGCGTCAACACCTGAACTAAGGATAGGGAGTGAAGTAGTCGAACGCGTTGACAACTTCACTTATCTTGGAAGTCAGATTAGCCCTAATGGGTTGGTGTCTGACGAAATCTCTGCACGGATTCGAAAAGCTCGTTTGACTTCTGCCAACTTACGTCACCTATGGCGAAGGCGAGATATCCGTCTATCAATAAAAGGACGAGTATACTGCGCGGCAGTCCATTCTGTTTTAATTTACGGTGGCGAAACATGGCTTTTAAGAGTAGAAGACACTCGTAAGCTACTAGTATTTGACCACAGATGCCTTAGAAATATTACTGGCATTTGCTGGGATCACCGGGTAAGTAGTAGTGAGGTTAGACGCAGGGTATTAAGGAATGATGGTAAATCAGTTGACGAGGTTGTGAGTCTTCATCGATTGAGATGGTTGGGTCATGTGTTACGTATGCCCGGACACCGATTACCACGACGTGCAACGCTAACCAGTGTTCGGGATGGTTGGAAGAAAGTTAGGGGCGGTCAAACCAAAACGTGGCATCAGTGCTTGAAGTCACTAACTTGTAGTCTGAGCCATGTTGGTAGATGCAGACTACTTGGTTGGGGTCCGCGTGACTATCGTAACCAATAAAAATAATATATTTGTGATATCCCAATGAGTAGAAAATTGTATTTTCTGACGTTTCGTGACTTAGTGTAAGTCACTTCTTTAGAGAATAAATAACCAAATTAAAATTAATCCAAGTTTAAATAGTACTATTTAAACTCATTGGGATATTACAAATATATTATTTTTATTTATAACAATCAACCCAATGCTCAATTTATTTGAAATTATCAAATCAAACCTTGGTAATGACACCTATCGTAACCAATGGTTGGAGAATCTTGGTGACATGGCTCATAATCGATCACAATGGCGTCGGTGTATACACTCTCTGTCTTCCCTTAAACTAAGAGATTAAAATCGCTTCATATCTTTCTTTCTACGAACAAATTCTTTCTTTTTGTACTATATCCTTATTGCAATCTTTCTTTTATATATTACCACCTCTGAATTAACTACTTTTATGAATCCGGTGTCCATGTTGTTGTGTGAATGAGGTATGGCAACTTGGACCGATGCATATATGTGCCTGGTCCTACGTTTCAGCTGACTGACTGAGCTAATGTTTCGTAGTCACTTCAATAGAATTGTAAAGTTATGTACCCAAGATCCCCGGACAGAAATAATTATTGCACCATAGAGATTACTTTCTGAATAAACGGTTATAAAAGCTTCATCTTCACTAGTATACTGAATTCAATTTCATGTACAGAAATTTGTTGCTAAAAAGTGCTATTAAGAAACTTAAGTTTTAGTTATTTATTTAAACTTTTCACATATGTTGATATTTTGATCACCATTTGACTAATTCTGTACGAAATAAGTTCTCATGACACATGAATCATATTTATTAACGATGAGAAAGTTGGTTTGAGATAATCAGGAATTCACTTGAATTCTCATCTTGAGCTGACTCGTCCTCATTCACTATTCTTGTAACAAATTTCACGATTTTATTAGTTTTGTAATCTGTGAAATTAAAATTTAAACAGTACAGGCTTTTCTCTTGTTAATCTAACCCAAGCTTCACCAAATAATCAAGATTATTAGATTCGGAAACAATTTTGTGCCAAAAAATTCTTCAATCGTGTTTGTGTTGATTTTGTATATAGTGAGCGTATGAGCCATCCTAATAATTTCGCGTCTGTATACGTGATGTCCAATTTTCGTGAAGCTGTTTTTACAGATCTTGCAGTGTCCCTTTAAAGTATGGATGAAATCACTGTTTTTATTCGTATTTTTAGAACATGTGTTTTCGTTTGTTTATAAAGCCCTGTATTTCTGTTTCATTTTTTTCAGGGTTCGTCTCCTTCTAGTCCACTGTCTCGTAAACATCGTCATTCGTCTGGAAGTGATTCTGTAGTCGGAGCTATTACAACGCGATCTAAATAAAGTTCATGTCATTTTGTATCTACATTATTAAAGTTATTGTAAAATATAGTATTATTTCTTAGTTGGTTTTTTGTCTATTCGTTTTTTAATCGTACATTTACGTAACCACTGTATATGTTTCATCTTCTAGAATTTATGAATGCCTTTTAAGCTTAAAGCCATATCCAATTTCGATGTGACAAAAGATGAACGCGATGGAAAAGTGAGTGTTTTTATACCCTGTTAACTAACCTAAAATCATTTGTATGCGGTGCATTTAATGGATTAAGAGAAATAAGAAGTTGGGTAACCGATATTTAGTTACATACTCCTTGTAAAACATAGGCTGCCGATCAAGATTCTCCAACCAACTCTATCCTGAGCTCTCCTTTCCAGTTTATTTAAATCACTGTTCATTCCTTTGATATCTGCCTCTGATTCTCGATGTAATGTGTTCTTTAGGCTTCCTCTTTTCATTTCTCCTTTAGGATTCCAAGTTAGCGCTTGTCTTGTTATGTAGTTTGGTGATTTCCGCAATGTATGTCCTATACACTTCCAGCGTCATTTCCTGATTTCCTCTTCATCTGGAAGTTGGTTTGTCCACTCCCACAGTAAGTTGTTGCTAATGATATCTGGTCAAAGGATTTTAGGTATCCTGCGTAGACAACTGTTTATAAATACTTGTACTTTTTTATGATGGTTGTGGTATTCTCATAGTTTCAGCTTCGTACGCTAGAACTGTCGTGATGTTCGTGTTGGAGATTCTGAGTTTGATTTTGTTTGAGTTGTTTTGAGTTCCATATGTTCTTCAATTGTAGGAATGGTGCCCTTGCTTTGTCAATCCGTACCTTTACATGTGTATCAGCTCCTCCTTGTTTTTCTATGATGCTGAGTTTGCCTCTCTTCCATCGTTTCTGCATTAAGTGTGATGAGGTTGGGTGATATTTCAGGATCTTGCTTTATCTGTTGTGTATTTTGAGGCCTACTGATGCATAGAACGCTACTATGCTAGCTGTTTTCATCTGTATTTGTCCGTGTGTGTAAAATAGAAGAGCTGGGTCATGTACGAAGTCCAAATCGTCTAGTTGTATCTAATCTGTACAATGTATTTCGTGCTTACTCTTTGATGTAGAGATTTTGGTAATCCAGTCAACCACCATAAGAAAGGGAAGGAGGGAGAGTAAGCAGCCTTGCCTTACTCCAATCCTCACTTGCAATGCATCTGCCAACTGTCCTGCGTGCCCCACTTTAAACTACAGTCGGTCGTATGAAATTGAAAATCTCAGGTACACTATATTGTCGAGGAAGTTTTCATACAGTTCCCCTATCCTCGCTGTCAACTTATTTCTCATGGTCATTGAAGTTTATGTATAGTGACGAGTTCCATTCAACCGATTGTTCAACAATGATCCGTACTGTCGCGGTTTGGTCTGTGCACGACTGATCCTTACGGAATCCAGTCTGTTGATCTAGAAGTTGGACGTATACTGCGTCTTTTATCCGGTTTAGCAACACTTAAAAACTTTTCTTGGTACTGACAGTAGTTTAATGTCTGTGTTGTTCTCACATTTGCTCAGATCACCTTTCTTTGGTATCTTGATGAGGTGTCCTGTAGTAAGCCCATTCAACTACTGTATCATTTATGTGCTCACTGTAATTTACACACTTAATGCACTATATAAATTTCTGTGTTAGTCCGATTGAGCACATGTTGCACATCAACTCTAATCTTTTCTCTCATTGGTTGTTATACACAGACAATCAATAATTTATCCACACTTGGTTATGACTCATAAATATATATGGATTTTCAACACTCAGACACACTCTTGGTTTCACTGTGTGCTTGCTTTCTGTACGCTTGCGGATCTCATTAATCTTTAACAATAAAATATCTCTACAACTGGTGTTCAGGCTTCTGAATAATCTCGAGTAAATCCAAAACTCTATTAGGAGATTTAGCTAGCGTTAAATACTCAGTTAACGCGATATCATTTATTGGAGTCAGATATAAGGGAAATTTGCTTCTACAGTCCTTCCCAGTCTATCTACGGCACTTGTTATTCCTCTCAAATATTCCTGAATAAAACGTGAAGCACATATGCAGTTGCTTCTGTGTCTGACTTCAGAGCTTCAGGTGCCATATTGTCAGGTCCAGCTGTTTGCCCACACTTTATTTATCTGATGACCATCCTGATTTCTTCGATTGATGGTGGTGCGACATATATAGGTAGACTTGTGTGTGTTGTGTCATTGTCTGGTGGGTTCTTTGGGGCTAGTCTATTCAAGAGTTTTTCAAAGTACTCTGCCTATTTATTGCACTGTTCTTGAATCTCAGTGATTGTCCTGCATTTTTTGTTCTTGACTAGTCGCTCTGATTCATTATGTTTCCTTGCTAGTTTTTTCGTTGTATCATATTTCCTTCGTTTGCAGCTTATTCCGCTGTCGCTGCCATGTCTTTCACGTATTTCTGCTTGTCGGCTTTAATGCTCCTCTTCACTCTCTTGTTTGCTTCTTTGTATTTGGTTTGTGCTTTGGTTTTCTCTGTTCTTGTTCGACTGTTGTTAACTACTATCTTCTTGTTCTTCCTTTAATCTTGTCCAGGGTGTGTACACATTTTTGTAGGAATATTGTGCCTCCTATTATCATTTGGTTGAATGCACATAAACTTGCGAATCTGTCACCATTCTCGTTCCTTTCTCCCAGTACATGTCATATGGTATCTTTATACCCGTTGTTGTCTATTTCGGGCTTCGAACCAGGACTAAATCTTGAAGGGCTACGGATGAAATTGAGTAACTGATAGAAGTTTGGCAAATCACTTTTGTAGATCGATTATTTGAGGTGTCGGATATAATGTAATCCATTGAAAGAGAATGAATTACCGTCTTGTCTTTTTTTGCCTGTAAAAAGAAATTATTTGATAGCTAATACAAGGCGTATTTTAGTGAGTGAGAAATTAAAGGTTTGTAAATGTTCTTAAGTGGTTGTGCTGGTTATGTTACTTTTGTAGTTATTTCAATAGATGAGATCATGAGTCGATTGAAGCTAGACCACCATGAAAAACCTGAAAGCACTGGACGGCCGTTTCGTCCTACTGTGGGACACCTCATCAGTGCGCATCCACAACCCCACCTCCAGGTTTTCCATGGTGGTTTAACTTCAATTAACTCATGATCTCAACTATGGAAATTACTACAATCTCTACAAAACTTCTGTAGTTGTCAATTATTATGGTGTATTACTTTTATAACTACTTTATTTTGATTATCAGTAGCTTACTCATAAAATTATTTCTCAATTTCACAAGGTTCGTGATGTATGTGATCATGCTGTTTGGAGTCTTTCTTCATGTAAACCAGGTCATGGTATCGACCAATTGTTGAGTGAATCTACTGATACATTTTGGCAATCAGATGGTCCACAACCACATTGTGTTAATATACAATTTCCCCGAAAAATGGTTCTTTCGAAATTATGTTTATACACTGATTACAAAGTTGATGAAAGTTATACACCTAGTAGGTCAGTGTTTAAAGTAAAATCTGATCTCACATAATCTTTTTTGTGAATATACATGTTCATAATATAAATTGTGAGCATTATAATTCATGACAATAAATATCGTAGTGAATGCAGTAGATAACTTCTATACGTCACTAAAATTATCAAAAAAATAAAGATAAAAACAGATGTTTGAGCCTATATCGCACTCAAATACCCTCATAAAAACTTATCAGGGGATTCATTGGCTACCGAATTTTGTGCATGCAATAACACTAGATGAGGAATTATATTCGGTCTCATTAATTTGTAAACAGTGTATTTAACCAGAATTTTAAATAACTTAGGTTCAGATATCAATATTTGGGTATTTAGGTATTTTTGGGTGGATATATCTGCATTTCAATTCAGGTTGTTCGCATGGACTCTAACTCAGCTTTGGGGCGATAGACTATAATTAGTGTATCAGAACCCTTGTGAAATCTACAACTGTAATGCATTAGATATTCGACTCAGCCAGCAAACTGTGAATAAAAGGGAACATGTTTTATATTCATCTATCAGAGCCCAGGACGTTTATTCCTCTCGAGCTTGCGTTCGTCAACGTAGCATTACTGCAATCCTAATATCTTTCTTACCACATTCAATATGTGATGTATGCTACTTATTTCTGTCGACATAAGAAGTATGTAGTACCAATCAAAAGTGGAAGAACTGGCAGCAGAAGGCTAAGAAGATTGAATTGAAGAAAACGGAAAGGGAAATAGAAAGGAACTATGAATTGGATGAATGAAAGAGAATGAAAATGACAGTTGACGGAGGATTTGCAAATGAAGCGTTTAATGTATGGTTTTCATATTTTACAAGGACCTGTAATTTCATATGAAATAATAAATTGATTGTCTCCGCGTGAGTGTTCGGTCATTACAGCCTTTCTGTTAGTTGTTTATCGTCACATCTTCCGCTCCGTTTTTACCTTTATCTTATTGTTACTATTGATAAGATATAATAATGAATCTTACCATTACTAACTACATTGTCGATTTTTTAATTTCCTTTTCCAGGTTGGCCATACGAGTTGGTAATACTATACACGATCTTATCGAACTTCTAGAGGTGGAACTACAGGAACCTACTGGGTGGTCAGTGATCCCACTAAACTGGCCTGATGGATCTCCGTTACGAACCTTTCTTTTACAGATTGCCATTTCAGCTAACCATCAAAATGGTCGTGACACACATCTGCGTGCTATCCGACTTCATAGTCCTGTGGAATGTCGTGGCTTGGACACCTTAGCGCCTTTTGTGAGTCGCGAAGGTCGTGCTTTTATGACTATTCGTTAGTTTTTATTGTTTCTTCTATCGTTTACTTATAATTAAGTTATATTGTCAACTGTACTTCAAATCATTTGCAGTCACAGGTTATTAGTAATACCTAGTGACTTTGGTTAATTTTGTGGTTTCGGCTGTCATATTTGTGCACTTCACTGTATTGGTTTATAGCAGATGGTTTGTTG